CAACAACTGGTTAAATATTAGGGTTAAAAACCATGTTATCCTGTCCGTTGGCCCGTCTACACAGCTAATGATAGATCTAATCACATTGAACACAGCTTTGCATACTCACCGCTTTCTATGAGCCTTCCACTGAGTATGTCACGTGAAGACCAACCGCACAGAAATCGCATGGAAGCATAATGTGCTCCTCCCATCAGAATAGCAGTCTTATATACTGCCCTATATCACGCGTGCAGAGCTGTGTTCAATGTGATTGAAATCTTGGTTTAGAGTTTCTTTGTTTGGTTATGGAGGCGTTTGGCCGAGTAGATTGCTATCAACTTGACCTTTCCTGGCTCTGAGGAAGGCGAAATTCGCCGAAACGTCAGCTTATTCGTGAATAAAGAATAATAAAACCTCGCGTATCGTCGTGTCGTAGAAAGTCGGTCGTGGGAGTCATTTGTTAGTTGGATGTTTTAGTGCTTGGACGGCTTGTCTTCACTGGTTGTGTTTACTCCAGAGCAGTTTCTATCTTTTCAGAGTTTTGCTAGCCTAGTCATTGCGGTTCCATGCAGTCCCGAGGTCAGCCTCCAAACTCTGGCCCAGGTCGTCATCACCCCAGGCAGTCTCCGCCCTTGTGGATCAGAGAGATTTGCCACCATGTGATTAGTTAGGCACAAGGACGGTGGTTGGTCGTGGTACTTGTTTACTCTTACATGAACTTCCTGATAGAAACATCGGACTTCTTCTGTGCTCAGAGGACTCTGCTCGGTTTGGTGGGGGTGAATCCCCGTGGTGTACATCGCAACCCAACAACCAGGAACACCTCCCTGTGCCATGAGGCAGTAAACCGTTGGGAGGATAGCCATTTGGTACATTTGACTTTTCAATATGTATTTCAGCATGTCAACTCGCTGCGGCTGTAGGCTATGATTCGGCCGGCACTGTGGAGTTCCTTGTGGATTCGAAAAGAAACTTCTACTTTTTGGAGATGAATACACGACTACAGGTGCTAGGCTATATTATTTATTTAAGAGAAAGTATATTTAAGAAAAGTATTGTTTAGGTGGAACATCCTATCACCGAGTGTATTACTGGTATTGATATTGTACAGCAAATGCTACGTGTAGCATATGGTCACAAACTTCCGCTCACCCAAGATCAAGTGCCTTTGAATGGATGGGCATTTGAGAGCAGAGTTTACGCTGAAGTATGACGTATGCTTTACTTGTATGGTAACTTTGTCGTAGGAGGTGGGAAAGGCAGGCATGAAGAAAAGCAACTAGAATTGTGAAGTACATTTAAGAACGCAGGGAAAATGGATAACATGCTGTGTATAGCTAATTGCTGCTGAACCCCATGTTGTTCTATGAAGTATTTATATCTTCTGATCTAACACTACGTTTGTCCTTCTTCGAAAATGAATTCACAAATATCAAAAGCGCAGTTGGGGACATGCTTCATGTTCTAATGGGCGAAATACCTCTTGTTCAACTGCTTTCATTTTCCAAATACAAAGCTCGGCGAGAAAAACTGGCAAAAGATTTCTGGGCTCCTAGATTCGAGTGAAGGTGCGATTTCAGGCCTGTATAAAATCAAAGTTTATCTTGGTTCCATAGGATGTTGTATTTAATTCTAGTCATTGATATAACAAGCTTTTCTAGGATCCGTACAAGGGATTTGGTTTGCCATCTATTGGACGTCTTTCCAAGTATGTTGAACCTCGTCACGTTCCCGGTGTGCGATGTGATTCCGGAATTCGCGAGGGCTCAGAGATCTCTATCTATTACGACCCACTTATTTGCAAGGTACAGCAGTTAATTCAGTTTTTAGCATTTTACAACATAGCTAATGTCTAATGAGTTTTCTGTGAAATAATTAACATTTGATAACTCGGTATATTGTATTTTTAGTACATTAATACCAAGACGTCATTATACGGCCCTTTCTGGCCATTCTGAAAACGTTGTTCGCAAAAGTGTCATTCTTAGTAACTTAACTATTGTGCAGTCTATGCTGGCATTAATAAGAATTTCGCATAGAGAGAAAGTATACCAAAATATAAGGTATATGATTTGAATAGAGTTCTTTATAGCTTGTTACTCATGGGGATAACCGTCAGCAAGCTCTCGATCGCATGGTTGAAGCTCTCGATAATTACGTCATCAGAGGAGTGAGTTTAATATTATTATTGTTTGATTTGCGTAATATATATATATACGTATATATATATATACGTACTATAAGCATATATATGTGACTACTAGTCTATTCAGGTAACCAATAACATCCCTTTGCTTCGTGATATTTGCCAAGAAGAACGTTTTCGATCTGGGAACATTACGACGAAGTCCATTACAATTGCTGTTCGACTTAGTGACGTTTCCATTGTTAATGTTGCATTTAGATATCTCTCCGAAACATATCCCAATGGTTTCCAAGGCGCAACGCTTAGTGAACATGAAGAGGTCACCATTATCGGGATCGCAGCTTCACTTAATGCTCGGAAACTCGCTCGTGCTAACAAATATCTTAATCACGCGCGCCAGACCTCAACGAGTATAGATCCTTACAAAAAAAATTATAGGTACTCGTTTACTCCTTAATTAGTAAAATCTTCTTGTTATTGATCATATCTCTGCCTTGGTTCGTTAAGCCAACGTTCTAGGTGTTTTATGCGGTTTCGAAACATTCAGGAGAGTTAAGAGTGTGTACCTTTCAACGGTTCATCGCTTCACCGTGACTGGGAGGTGTTCCTGGTTGTCGGGCTGCGATTTACAGCGGGGCATTCATCTCACGGCAGGGTCTCTGAAACTGAGAAGGAGTCCAGCGTTTCCATCAGGAAGCCCACCTAATAGTAAACCAATACCAGGATCCACCACCGTTCTGGTATCAAACTAGTCACATGGTGGCTCCTCTGATCCACAAAGACTGCGACTACCTGTTTGGGTGACTACTTCAGGCAAACTTTGGCCAAACCGTCCTCGGGGCTCCAAGGAACCACAGTGGCTAAATCAGCAAATCATCGGAGAATGGAAATTATGCTAGGGTCCGCACAACCAGTGAAGGGGAGCCATCCAAGTATCCAAGTAAGAGTATGCAATAATCATAATTGTTTACTTTACATGGAAAGTGAAGAATCGGCATTTCTGTTGTTGCTTAGATATTCATAAACTGATCCCATGTTATTAAATCATCATAGGAACTAAGAAGTCCTATCAAAATTAGAATAGATTTTTCCTTTTGTTATGGTTAGCTCTAACAAAACTCTATCGTTATCTGATATTCACAGGTTCACGGTACAACTTCCAACTTCCAATGGTGAGAAGAAGGTACATAAAGTCAATGTCTATTTCGAAAATGGAGACCAGAACAAGCCAAGGGTGAGCCTTTAATTTTTAACAAAAAACTTTACGTCTCCATCATGTGTTCTCCACTGTAGTTTTCAGGTTCTTGTTGGTGAGAAGAAAATGAATATTGAAGGGGAACTGAACCTTGCCCATCATGTCATACAATTGAATACTGGAGAAAAGGCTAAAATTGCTACCCAAATTATAAGTAAACGGGCTGGAGAGATTACTGTTCTCTTCAAAGGTTCACCATTTAAAGTGATGGTCTTACCCGAGCATGCTTTCGAGTACCTCAAATACATGAAAGAGAAACCAAAGGTAAGTAAAGGAGTGTAGTCAACATAGTTGTTTTTTGCGTACTGCATCTCCTATTGAATGTTATCCTCCACGAGATCTGTCTTCCTTTTTTTAAAAATTATGTCTTGAAGGCAGATTTGTCTGCGGTAGTGTCGGCTCCAATGCCTGGCGCCATCAAATCAGTAGCTGTGAAAGTTGAAGATATGGTTAGCGAAGGCCAAGAGTTGGTTGTAATGGAGGCAATGAAGATGCAAAATAGTTTACATGCAGGGAAAACTGGAAAGGTTAGTGAGTGTTTTGGTGTAATATGGTAGACTTTCACGGATTGGTAAGTCTTGCCAATAGTGTTAGTCGTATATTCTTTATTTCTGTATTATTGCCAGTAAGGCCTACCAAAGTATCCATGAGCCCATTTTTTGCGCCAGAGCTGCAAGTGTCTTTGCTCAAGAGAAACAAAAAAATTATGATTCTTTTCATAAAAGGATCCTTTATTTCCAGGTCTAAGGCTAAGTAAAATGTTTCCCTATAGATTCTGATTTATATGCTGGGTAGACCTATGACTAATCTTCTATCGGCTTTTCCAACGGTATATATGGGTTCTACTGGAGACGACCGCGAACATTCAACTCACTTCATTTCGAGCGTCTGACCAAGACGACGTTGAGCACAATGGATTTATGTGAAGTCATGCTGACACATTGAAATATGTAGATCAGTAGGGAATCAATCACTACAGGCCAGAGGGGAACTGAGCTCTAGATTCGCATTTAGCTTCATAGAAGCGCCCCTTGGCATTGCAAATGAGCTGCCTGACGCCACCACATATGGGAGATTCCGTGATCCATTTGTTTACATATAAGGTTTTTCTTTTTTCAGGTGAAAGCCATAAACGTGAAAGTTGGTGATACCGTTGACGAGGGTCAAGTATTAGTGGAACTCGATTAGAACATACTTATACTTCCAAGTACATCATGTGCTAACTACACTAGCACGTCCCTCGATTTCATTCTATATCTACCTTGTTAGTTTGCTGGTAGTATTACCTCTCCGTCAAAAAACTTTAAACTAGATTTCTTGAGTTGTATTGAGTATTGACGAGTATGGGGAGTATTTATTTTTGAATCGTGATGAACATAAAGTTTCCTGAATTTTATTGGTTTCTGACGACTCTTGAGAATGGACAAATACGTTTGTGAATTGACCTTAGGAAATCCACATTTGTATGTGTACGGATGTCTAAATTCTTACTACACTTGTCTTCCTAATGGTCTTTGAGGGCGTAAAATTGTGTTAGTGTGGAAATTGACGTCTCCTTCATACTTGTTCTGTATGGGAAATATTCAGATCCTCTAGATCAATGGTGGGATATTTCTCGTTCAATTCTTACGAATGAGTACTTTTCGGGTCGTGGTCGATCATGTATGTGTTTGGCATTATGTGAAATCATACGGCGAGCGGCTTTTAGGGAGCACTATGTCTAAACTACCCGATTTTTACACTTTGGCTTGGGCTGTGGATTGTGATCAATTAGATGGTGCAAAAGGCGCAGCTAGCACACTGGCAGAGATCCCTTCAGAACAGAAAAGACCCTAATTCAACCCCACACCGTGTGTACGATTGTTTGACATGGTGTGGAACCATGCGGCTAATAGCTCTTGGGCAACGCTATGTCTAATCTACCTGGTTTTTTGACATTCTGGCTTGGATTCTGGATTATGGCTTATGCGACGATTTCTCCGTTTGGTCGTCGATGAGTGGTCAAAACATTCACTTGAACTCATAATGGATGCACTTTTAGAGTTCCATTGCCTTCTCATATTCGAAAAAGCACTCATTCTCATGTTCTCTGAACTGAGGGTCTATTCTCACGATTGCCAAAAGTAGGATACCAGTCGTTTTTGCCATCGATTAAATGGTGCAAACGACGCAGCAAGCCCACTGATGGGCGGTCCCTCCAGGACGGACAAGACCCACCCTAGTTCAACCTCTTGTTGTTCTTTCGAAGCCTTTCAACTCTCTTAGAACTACGAATTGATACCAGAATTGTCGGCAAATCCATCCGATCCAGAAAAGATGGAGAATCCTGTTGTGAACATCTTGGTACACTTTAATGGTATTCGTAAAAATAATCTGACTCAAGCAGCAGCCAAAACCACGTGGAAAATCCAAAGACCTTCATATTTGAAGATTGTGCAGAAACGAATAGAATGCAAGAAGTGGTTGGATCTTAACAACACATGACTTCGCATCATGTTAGGAAAAACGGTCTAAATTCGTACTACGGTGCATTTAGCACAGATCGATCCACAAGAAGGACACTGCTGGGAAGAAATAAATGGGTATAGATTCTATCTAGTAGGACAAATGATGAACTCTCCATGGTCTGTCTAAATTAAATTCGGATGGTTAGGGCATCATGGAGATCTGAGTGAGTCAACACATTGACGACAACTCGGTTCATTGGGCGCTCCGCTCTAGTCCTGTAACAGTAAGGTGTCCTGTACAATTACTAACTGATAAGATACTTCACTGTACTCCATGCAGTAGACGATGGTATAACATATCCGTCGTTTTTGAAAATCGCGTATTAGCTTGTTCAACTAACTTCAATGCCCTGAGACTTCAACCTGGACTTTGAGGAATGGCCATTCTTGCCGTGTAACTTGCGAAATTTATGAAAATTATTATGAATTATTTTTATCCAAAAAATTATGGACCTTGAGAATGCTCCTTACGTGCTTTTTAGCTTCTGCGACTAGCTACTACGACTACTTAGTACTGTTGTTCTCTACACCTGTTTCACCTGTTCTCCTGCTGACCGTCGCGTGAATAGAGCAGTACGTGCGTACGCGCGACTGTCGCTGCCGCGTATGAAAGTGGTTTGGTTAGAGAACCAATTTTTCAGGTCCATTCAATCAGCGTGGCTTGATACTTAATGATATAGGAACAACATCATCAAAAAGGTGAACATGACTTAACCGCAGATCATCGTTAGGAAATTGAAGATTTTCTTCCCAGATTCTGCAGTTCTGGCCACGATAGTTACGAAGATCCTTTCACCGTTCTTGAGAAAGACGACCGTGTTCGACGTCCTCCACTGGTTTGGGATCTCTCTTTTTTGAAGCTAGACTGTCATATGGTTTGCGAGAAGTATATGTAAATTGTTGCTTCCAGCTCTAAGGAAGACGGTGGTAATATTATCGGGTCCTGGAACTGTGCCTCGTTTCATGATTTCTGTCGCAATTCGAACTTCTGACTGAAGAATTCCAGGTGGTTTTCCTCCAGCGGGGATATTAGGGTCTGATACGGGGATTGTGGAACGGAAAAGACAGGTGTAGAACGTTTCTTTATTAATTCCGTATTATGGCGGGAGGTTTTGACGATCCCATCTTTCCGGGAGTAACGCGTTCACCACCACACCATGCGGGTCCCTCGTTTTGCCTCTCTCAGCTAGTTCTATCTATGGTTGTATGTCGCTTAGTACCTTGCCGTGAAAATTGTAGTAGACAGAAAATAAAAGATAAAACATTGTGATTTCAACTACAGCCTCAACTTAACTGCGTTCAATGCCGATGTGGGCTCCCCACATCAATCCCATTGACGGGTGCGATAGAATTAGCTGAGAGACAGGCAAAACAAAGGATCCGCATGGTGTGGTGGTGAAAGCGTTACTCCCCGAAAAGGACAATGGCTTGTTTGTTCCCCACCGCAGACACCTGCGGTCTGGAGTTTTGCAAACATCTCAGCATTATAGAAATTATATTTCGCAACAAACCCTGCCGTTAAAAACAATAGGCAGTAAATGAAAAGGTTAAGATAGCTTAAAGCGTTTACCCTATGTCATATCGCCCGAAGTTTGCTCCTTGCGATTGCCGTTGCTTCTGTGCTACTGGTATGAAACCTGCACAGATAAGGTAGGAGTCATTATAAAGCCCAAACATGCATTCAATCACCTCCAGCCATGCCTAATGAAGTCGAATGCACACGGCTCATCTCTCAGGGATTGATCAACGCCAAGAGCTTTATTCTTTATCCTTTATTTTTACTACAGAGTATGCGAAGACTATGATCTTAGACATTTGATAGGAAAATGAGGCTCTAGGAGGCATCATAAAATCGAAACAAAATGAATTATCTTACTTTAACGCACATGTCCTCATCATCTACCTCTCCATCGAATCCAGGTATCATGTTAACCTACAGAAAGCATGAATCTTTAGCCGAACATGAAATCCAGTCTACAATATACTTTCAAAAAACTTCCTCCCGTTTAAAAGTAATCCTGATGTAGAAATCCAAAAAAATAACCCCTTTGAGTAAACTAAATCTAAGACCTTGGCTTCTGTAGCAATCTTCTTCGAGTGAATTTTGTCACCCATATCGAGTATTGCTTTAGAGTTTGGACC